TTTTACTGCGTATCTCTGCCAATTAGAATATAACTCCTTGAAGGCAGGGATTTTTGTACTGTTCACTGCTGTACCTTCAGTGCCTGGAATGACACTTAGTACATGGCAGGCACACAATAATAGTTGTGAATAAATGAATAAAAATATAGTACGAAAAATGTGATGCTCAGTACATAAAAGAACTTATGGGAAAACTGAGGAGAGATGTCTAACCCAGTTATGGAAATTAGGCAGAGCACAAGAGGGTGGGAAGATGTTCAGGGCAGAGACCCAAAGTAAAGATATACTCTCTGCTCTGGTGGACACCCAGAGCGGGAGAGAAAAAAATGGTCCCTGCAAGAAAAGAGAAGTAGCGCAGCATGAAGTTTCTGCCTTACTACAGCCCCGCACAGTATGTGTCCGGCCTGCCCCTCTCCTCCCTACAGCTGAAGGGTTGTGATCCCTAGCTCCAAGTCCCATTCTGCTCCTAGTTTCCAGGACAGCCCTGACCTGAGATGGCAAGCCCATAAGCTGCTCTAGCACCCCTCTACAGAAACATCAAGTCTCCCTCGTCTGGGCAGGAGCCAGACAGTGGGGGGGAGGGTACTGGGGCCCAGTTCTGATGACCAGGCTCCAGCTTCATTCCCAGCACCTGGAGCCTTGTCTTGGCAAATTCCCAGTACCTTCGGACTCCAGACCTGCCTTGGTATGACCACTCTGAGCAACAGAAAACTCAACCCAAACTGGCTTAAGCACTAAAGAGGTCTGGTGACTGGAACAACTAAACATTCTGGTGGTGTGGCTGGCCTCAGGCACAGGACTCAAATGATGTCACTGGGACTGAGTTTCTCTCCATTTCTTGGCTCTGCCTTCAGTGGGGTTGGCTTCATTCATCCTCAGGCTCTTCAAAGGCCTCCAGCCTCTGCCATAACTTCAGGCTTTTACTTCAGAGTGTCAAACTGGCTGCTGTGTCTCCAGCTCCACCTTCTCCCAGACTTTAGAATCAAATGGGAGAAAAGCACCTGCCTTTCTCCCACCAATCCCAGAAGTCATGGCTGTATTTCATTTGCTATGGCTGGACCAGGTGATCCATCCCTAAACCAATCACTGTGCTTTTCCCCTTCCCCCATGCTGTGTGTGAGAAAGGACTTGCTAATTTGATTGGCCAGGTACGGACCATGTGTTCCAGACCTGGAGCTGAGAGTGGAACCTCACAGAGATCAGTAGCTGAGAGAAGGAAATACAAATCTGGGCTGGAACCCAAAGGAAAGGGAATGGCTGCTGAAGGGACAGACAGTAACCTCACACTCCAAGTTTAGTTCCATAGCCTGGCCTCAAGCAACTCAGCCAAAGAGGTAAATAACAGTCCTTGACCGAAGAATGTTTAACACCTCTGCCACAGTCTACAAAATTCAAAAACAAATGGTGAAAGTGTATCTTTTATGGTGAAATGAAAATCAAAAATGTTCAAATATACGTAAGCCATGGAAACCTATGGGGACCTAAATGATAATAATGATTTTGCAATATAATTTGCTTTCAGGATTTAAAAAAAGAATGTGATGCTATTACCATTCATCTTTGAAAAAGTAAGATGAAATTCAGGAAGGGAAAACAAAGATAACCTAAATCATGTCTAGTATCAAAAACCCATTTGAACAGATTCCAGAGGCTGTCTGGACTCCTCTCTGGTAATGCAATTTTGCTCTGTCAAATATTTCATGAAAGTGGGTCACTGGCTAGAGCCAAAAACTGGTTTTTGTTTTTTCTTTTTCAGTGTAGAAATTTGTCCCATATGATTTTTTTTAAAGCTGGATTCTAAGATTGAGCCCATATTTTTGGCCATCTGAGGAATGCATCAAACACATTTGTTTAGAAATCAGCTAGCCTAGTGATTTCTAAAATTGTTAAAGAAACATCTGATTTAATCATTGTTCTGCCCCTTAACTACTTCCTGCTAAGCATCTTAAGGCGGGAGAGGCTGGATAAAGGTTTGGTTTGGGTTTTTTGTTTTGTTTTTTTTTTCAAGCCTGAGAAACTGGGACTTCCCTACATTTCAAAGCACAAAGGCCTATTATTCAAGGAAAGGGGCCAGGGAGGCAGGGCGATTCAATTTTGTAGGCCACTGAGTACTTCTTCCTTTCTCCTGCCAAATCAAGGCTCACCCTGTCCCAAGTGGACTACACGTGGGGCAGTCCTCTATGAAAAAGTGAAAGCAGTCGAGGAAAAAGAAAGAGCGGCCAGCCAGGAGAGCCTGGGGAGCACTCATTATATCTGAATAGAGCCAGTGAAAGGGGCTTTTTGCTGAGCTGCCTGGGTGAGGCCACTCCATTCAGGCTCCCATTGTAAATTCCATCTGTGCGCTATCATTTCCTGACCCAGAAACAGGGAAATGTTTAGGCCATAAATTTCCCTAGGACCTTGCCTGACCACAAAAATCACTCCCTCTGAAGTTCACTGGCTCCTTCGAAATTTGGTGAAGGTTTAAGACCATGTTTGCCTTGATTCCCTCTCCCCATTTACTGAATGGTCTCCTCCTCATCTCCCTATTTTCCTTCCAGAAATTAGATCCTCCATGAAGTGAAATGAAACTGGGATGTTTATGAGGAAAGCTCTGGGGGAAATCAGAAGCTCTTCTGTCCTCGAAGGAGAAGCTTAAAATGTCTGGCTGGCCCAAAGCCAAAGTTAGTCAAGGGTCAAATGGTAATGTAACAGTTTGTGTTTGAATAAGTCTGAGAAACTGAGGATGTAAATAAGAAGAGAAAACAGAAATGATGTAGAACAGTGGCTGTCAAACTTTAACACGCATCAAAATGATGTGGAAGAGCTTCTGATTCCAGAGCTGTGGGGTAGGGTCTGAGAATGTGTGTTTCTCACAAGTGCCCAGTGGCGCTGACGCTGCTGGTCCAGGGACCAGGTTTTGAGAACCCCTGATGTACGGGGTGACTGTACCAGACCTCACACATCCAGCAGGACATTAGATACATTCAAAGGTTCAATAACATCTGGACTCAGGCTCAGTAAACGTAGTCTGGTACCTACCTATAGACCCAGGCTGAGTGCTTTCTATGGTAGTAGTTATGGCTAGCAATCTACCACACAGTTATATACAAAACATAAAAATATTTTTATAACTCAACTTCACTTTCAGCCCCTATTCAACCAGAGTAATAAAAATGTAACCTCAGCTAATGTAAAGTCTTTCTCCCACTTTCAGGGATGCCTCTAGGTGCTCAGTGTTTATGAAAAATCATGGGATTGGGGGCGTGTGGGGGCAGGGCATGCATTCTGGTCCTTGCTGTCATCTGTCTACTAGGCTGTCAGATGAAATCGCCATCACCTTGTTTGGCCTGTAGGCGTCCATCCTCACTGATCATCACTGACCCGTCCCTCACACACAGGCAACATGACCCCTTCTGGTGCAGCACCATTTCCGGGCCACTCTGGGAACTCAGAATCTGCCAGCCATGTCCTTTCTGCTCCCCAGGGCTCTGCCCAGAAAGCAGGGCACAGGGGCCCTCTCTCTCGGGCCTGCTGCATCTCTACTTGTATCATACCCTCTCTGCCTCTCTTTCTTCCCACCCTTACCGCCCCTCCTCTGCCCAGAACGGCGGATTTTTTCTCCTCAAACCCCTGGCCATGTCCAGTGCTCTCAGTGTTCCCCTTAGGGCTTTAGACTTTTGAAAACCAAAGCAAGGAAGATTCCTACTTGTTTTTTCTGCTCTGACATTTCCTTCCCAGAGTTAATGAGCACAGAATGGCCTAGCTGCTTAAGTGGGGAAGCCTGCATAAACGAAAGAAGCTTAGAAGGAGAAAAAATAAACTAATCTAAAATACACACACATTAACAGTTTAGAATTATTTTCTATTACTATTTTGTAATATCTACATTCTTCTCTTTCATTTTCAAGGCAATTCTGTGAGGTAGATATTATTCTTCCCATGTTACAAATGAGAAAATTGAAATGCAGAGAGATTAGGAAGCCTTGCCTGAAGTCCTGTATGCCAGGTTTTGAACTCAGGGCTTCTCGGTTTGAATCCAAGGCTAATTCCATTTATCTTGGCTTTTCCTCCCAAAGAAGCAGCGGAGAGAGGGAGGCCTGTCAATGTAGAAGTCATAGCCCACAATACTGATCAGTGTTAGGGAATTATTTGGCCCATGAGATACTATTAAGCCAAGACTTAGTGGTAACAAGGCAGAGTAATAAAATAAACCAAGAGACAGGATGCGAGGTAAATAAGGGGTTGATAGGTTTGTGAACACCAGAGATTAAGGAGTCAAAAGGCCCCAAGTCAAGGCCACAGGTCAAGGAGTAACCATTTCCTGACTATGAGAGACAGGTTAGGAGTTCAGAAAATTAAGACCCAAACCACAGTGCCCTGAGCCCCTCAAATCCTAAGCTGGTCAGGAGTCAGGAAGGCAGGAGTCACAGAAGTCAGTTAAGGCATCAACAGTAAGAGTTAGACCTTGGACTACAAAAGGGTGCATTTGCCCTTTAAGTTGTTTTCCTGGAAAACTCAGAACCCACAAGCTGAATAGGAACATGACTGTGAAAGTGAGGACTGGCTGAGTGGAAATCCAGGACAGGAACGGGACAGCAGAGATTAGAGAAAGTCCTTGGGGCCAAAAAGCACGTTGCTGTGCACAGGGAATGTCTGCTGTCTTTGTCTAGCATGCCTGCTTATGATAACAAAGCCCATCTCAGCCTTTGGAGGAACAACTTCTCCCAACCTTAGCTCCTGGGTTCAAGAGGGACTGACTGCCCACTGACCAGGCCAGGATTCCACATACATCACAGTGACTGGCTCAGGGGTGAGTATGTGACCCGAGGTAGGCCAGTCAGCATGGCAGTTGTCTGGATGTCTGTCCCACCGAAACTCATATGTTGAAATCTTAACCCCCAAAGATGAGGGTATAAGCTGGTGAGGCCTTTGGGAGATGCTTAGGTCATGAGGGTAGAGCCCTCATGAATGGGACTAGTGTTCTTGTAACAGAAGAGTTCCTTTGCCCTTTCCACCAGATGAAAACAGAACAAGAAGGTGCCACCTATGAACCCAGAAGTGGGCCCTCATCAGACACCACAGAGAATCAGCTGGCACCATGATCTTGGACGCCAGCCTCCGGAACTGTGAAAAGCCGACTTCTGTTGCTCGTAGGCTACCCATCTGTGGTGTTTTGGTATAGCAGCCTGAAGGGGCTAAGACAAGCGTCAACCTCGCCACTTTCTGGAGTGACAGGAAAAGAGGTAACCTGGTCTACTGAGCTTGCTAAGCCAGTAGAATATAATGGTGCTGTCCACTTGGACCACCTCCCCAGGAGGGCTTGCCTGACAATAAAACCAACAGAGCAGGAAGTCGGGCTAAAACACAGGGGCAGAGCAGAAGAGAAAGAAACTGTATCCTAAGAACATTCTTTGAGGCCCTAGATCCAATCATAATAAATTCACCTCCTGGAATTTCTCAGTTAAGTGAACCAATAAATTTCCTTTTTTGGTTATCTGTCAATGTCTGAAAGACTCTGATTAACTGTGCATAAAAATTTGCACTACATAATGAAAATATGGACAGATGCACTGAAAGCACAAGACTTTTTTGTGGAATTACACAGGAATAAGCCCTAAACATGCTTACCCTCAGTTTTTTCTGTCAGAGGTCTGATCTCTGGGGCTCTAGGCAAACCTCTCACTGACAAAGGGAGGTGTCTTTAAGACCTAAGGAAGGGCAGAGAGGTTAGATTCCAAGGTAACTCCCTCCAACCAGCAAATATTCACTGTGGGCGTGCTGGGTAAAAGGCTCCAGACAATGCTAGCTCCAAGTGTTACCACTGAAAAACCTTAACTCCAACACTTAATTATTCATAGTGCTATACAAGGCCCACACAAAGAACACCATCTATGTCCAATATGTGCACAACATCTGGTGGTTTTAAAATATGTCCACAAATTATTTGACGCTCCCTCCTTTAAATTTGGAGTTTAGTTTACTGCCCCTTGAAAATGGGACAGATTTAGTGACTCACTTCTAAGAAACAGAATGTGATGAAAGGGATGTTTTCTGACACACTCTCTCTCTCTCTCTCCATTCTAGCCTTTGGAACTAAGCAAGGCACCACATTTTGAGGGAGCCCAAGTTACAGGGAGAGGACACATGAGGATGTTCAGACAACAGCCCTAGGTAGGCCCTCAGCCAGCAGCCACAGTAAAACATGAGACAAGCAAGTGAACAAGCCTTCAGATGACTTCAGCCCCAGCCTTCAAGTCTTGCAACTGAATATGCCCCCAGGCACAGTGGAGAAAGGACTGCCATTCTGCTGTGCCCTATCTTAATTCTTGACCTGTGGAAATTATGTGAGATCATAAATGGTGTTTATTATTTTTTAGCCACTGTGCTCTGAAGTACTTTGTTACACAGCAATACATAACTAAAACACAGTCCAAGAACAAAACAGCAAATGATTATCAGCTCATATGCTAACTCCAATCAACTGACAGTCGTCTGGAGAAAGGTGCATCAGGGCTGAGAAAGAAAAAGAAGATGGAATCAAACCAGCGAAGTCTACCATAAGCATGGAAGTGGGAAGTGACAATACTGTTTTTTTTAATTTGCCAACCTTGGTCTGAGACAACTGACTATAGACCCAGGGGGAAAAAAAAAAAAGTTCCAAGAGGGAATGGGAGAAAAAGGCATGTAGAGTGGGCAGCAGAAAAGCACTAGGCTTGGCAATAAGATACAAGGATTCAAAGCTCAACTACGTACCAGCTGGGAGAACTTAAGCTAGTTGTTTAATCTGGCCCTCAACTCCCTCATCTGCAAAATTACAGAACTGTTGTGAGAGTTAAATTAAATGTGATCATGATACAGATGTCTGGCAACAGTAGGTCCTCAACAAATGGGAATGTGGTGGGAGTCCTGGCAGAACTTTAGCAAAATTTGGATGTGGGAAGGGAGATGGATTGGAGGTCAATTTGACTCTCAAATACAGCACTGTCACGTGACATTCGAAGCCTTCCCAAAGCTTTATTTCCCAAGTGTATTCTGTGAAATACTAGGACTGTCAGACATTAATAGCACATTCTGTAAAACACTGGTTCTGTGGATGTTTAATAGGTGTTACACACATAAAAAGAGTTTGCTTGTATCCACTTACCATATGGCTCAGCAATCCCATTTCTGGATATTCACCTCAGAGAAGTCAACATTTATGTTCACACAAATACCTGTACATGAATGTTTATCGCAGCTCTATTCATAATCCCCAAAGGCTGGAAACAACTCAAATGTCCTTCAACAGGATAAACAAACTGTGGGACACTCATACCATAGCAATGAAAAAGACCGAACTCTTGATACATACAACATGGATGAATCTCAAAGGTATCACCTGAGTGAAAGAAGCCAGTCTCAAAGCCAGTATAATTCCATTTATATGACTGTTTTGTGAAAAAGGAAACTATCTGGGGGAAGAACATGTCAGTGGTTGCCAGGAGCTGGGGGGTAGGGGGTGTGACTACAAAGGGATAGCACAAGGGAGTACTGGGGTCTGATGAAACTGTTTCATATCCTGACTGTGGTGGTGAAAGGGAGCAGGACCCTGTGGGCACCCCCAACCCCTGCCTCTTGTTTCTAGAAAAGCTGAAGTCTCCCAGGCCTCCCTGAGTCATAGAAGAGCAGGCTCAAGCAGTTGATTAGGACAAGCCTGACTGTAGATCTCACCCCCTCCCCCTTCCGAACAGACCAAAGGGTTCTTCTTCTGAAAACAGAACTGTGTACCACTGAACAGATACTGGTAACAAAGTGTGGAAGATTATGCAAAAAAGAATGTCAAGAGAGCTCTTTCTACATGACAGCAAGAAACTGTTTACAAAGGAAAATGTATGCTGAAACCAATTCATTTTTTTCCTTTGCTTTTATAGCACATTAGGTTTTTCTTCCGGGATTTATTGAGTCATGAAACACATTAACTGTGGCAGGCTGAGTTTCAATTAAAGGCAGGAGGCAAGGGTCATTTACCTACAACTAAATACTTCTTCAATAATAACAGACTCATGAACAAAGGGAACTTGTTCTGAGGAGAATATGAGGAATTATGACTATAGCCATCATTTTTATTCAGACACAAATGACTCTAGGCCAGAAAATCATATTAGCTGAGAACATAACTTGGAACCCACTGCTAATACCAGGAAACGTTCCTTGCATGTGGGCAACTCGCTACCAAAATCAGCAACCATGATGATTGGGGAAAAAATACCCTAGCTTCTCAACTTATCATCTCTCTTGACAGGATGACTTAGATTTTAGTTTTACAAAGGACCAGAATGTTATCATAGACTAATCAAATTCTTAAAATAAAATGATAGTCCACATTTTAAAAGCAACACCACCACAAAATACTGCAGTGGTGTTTGGGGTTTGATGATGACGATCCTTTTCAGAAGAAAGTGTCTCAGGAGGAGGAGGCGGGGGAGCACAGATGGTGTCTGGTGGCTCCTTCACTGCAGCTCACTTTGCATTCCTTACTCTCTTGTAAGCGCTATCTGCAGAACTCCGTCTCAGCCTTCCTTCCTCTCCCTTTCTCATATTTCTTGGCCTGTTCCCTTTGTTGATTTCAATCACTTGGCCCCTTCCAATACCTCCTTTCCTTGAACCTGAGTCCTCTCTGTACTGCCTTACCTGATACACAAAGATTATAACTGCTCCTCACATGACAGCCCTGCATTCTCTGGTGTTAGCACAAAGAAAGAATTCTGTCTCAGGCAGGATCTGGTTACACAGCAATTTCCCATGTCCTTTTCTCAAAGCTACGAGACAGTCCCAGTTAGTCTCTCTCCCTCTTTCTCTCTCTCTCTCTCAGCATCTGATCTCTGATAAAACAGTGAGTACATCTGGTTAATATTCAGGTGGAGTGAAAGTTGACTTAGTCATGAGCAACTTTTAAAATCTTTTCCTAAACTGGTAACAAACACAATTTCTAACATATAGAAGTGACAGTTACATTCAGATCAATAATTACTGAGTGTCTACCACCTCACGCTGGGGATAGAGCCAACCCCCATGCTGGGGATAGAGGTCTACATAAGGGTTAGACTCTGCTGTCACGGAATAAGCCTTGCATAAATTATAAAGAAAAACAGAGAATCACAATCAACTCTTCGATGGAAAACGGGGCAAACATCACCTGAGTAACACCAGTCTGAAAGAAATTTTCAGGATACTGAGCTTCTGTTTATTTTTAATACATATATAATGATATTAACAATAATACTTGCTTCTCAGGATGATTACTATAGGGGGTCAAATCAGAATGTGATTGAATGTTTCTTGCAACTATGCAGCTGAATTTCAATTCCATTCTATTAGCATTTATTCGGCATCTACCTTGGGCCAGGCCCTGTGCTAGAGAGATTGGAAATAAAATTAAAATAATCCCTGAAACCAAAGCACCCAAGGACTGAGGTAGTAGAAAAGCACATGAAAAAAACATAATACAGTGTGATTATGTGCTGTAATAGAGATACAGAAAATGTACCAGATCATACATGAGAGATGACAGTATCCAGCCAGGGGCATGGAGAGCAGGGAAAGAAAGCAAAGGGCATCAAGAGATGCTTCTGAAAGAAAGCAGACGATAGGTAAGAGTAACTGTCTCTCATTAAGGCCCTTCTATGTACTAATCACTATGTTAAGCACTTTACAGACAATATTCACAATAAATAAAGACTAGATAGAGGGTTCCCCTTCTTGATAATATGCTACCCTATTAACTTACAGAGTATAGCTTTGGTGGCAACCAGGGCTACTAACCTGGAGAGACTGACAGTCATCTGCCCAGATGGAAGAGGAGAAAGCACTGAAGTAGAAGTAAAAAGTGATGGGTTCTTATCCTGTTCTGCCACTTTGTGGCTCTAGGGATGTTCCTTAGCTCACTAGTCTTCAGTTTCTTCATCTGCAAAACAGAGATTTAATACCAGCTGACCTTGTGAGGTTGCTGGTATAATGGATGTGTAAAAGACTTTCAACTCTGTCAAGGGCTCTTCAGGGTAAGGCCCAGGCTGAGACTCACTTGCCCACAGGGCCCAGGGAGGTAACATAACTGGGTGAAACAGGCTGTGGGGACACTGCCAACTGTTGTATCAGTTAGCTATTGCTACATAACAAATCACCCTACAGCACAGTTGCTTAAACCAATAACAGTGTACTACCTTTTCACTATTTGATAGGTTTGCTGGGTGGTATTTCTGCTGGTTTTGCCTGGGCTCACTCATATGGCTACGTTCGTCTGGAAGGCTGGCTGGGGGCTGCACTCATTTGGAATAGCAGGGCAGCTACTCCTTGTTGATTAATGTCAAATGTTGCCATGTAGGAAGCTGAGCCCCTTGCTGCCAACTTATTTTTCTTGAAACATTAAAATATTTGTCTGTGTGTGTATACGTAAATGTATGTGTGTGTACAAATCCCTGATTTTTAAATATTAACTAATTTTTATAATGGAAAAACATTGTGACCCTGCAAAATATATCTATGGCCTGGATTTGGGGTTTGGGTCACCAATTGATAACCTTGGAAAAGATTATTCAACCTTGGAAAAGAAGATGGGGGTGCATTAGTCCCAGTTCCTCCTCAAGGGACATACACAATAATCTGACAAGATATCAGTGTTCTGCAGAAACTAAGACCTGCTCACAGTGGTGGAAGTTGAGGACTACATGCTGACCACAAGCACATAGACCCCAGAATGATTAAGACTCCTGAAACATCAACCTGTTACCTCACCATTAAGCAGTCAGAAGAAATTCACGTACCCTGCAGCCCTCACCCCGAATGCTGCCTTTAAAAACCCTTGCCTGAATGCCACCGGGGAGTTCGGGTCTTTTGAGTATGAGCCACCTATACTCCTTGCTGGGCCCTGTAATAAATGCTGTACTTTCCTTCCCCACAACCCTGTGTCAGCACGTTGAGTTTACTGTGTAGTGGGCGAGTGGACCCAAGTTTGATCTAGTAACAGTAGAAAACTTCAAAGTTTGAACCGTGGTAAGTGAAAGAATACATAGCCACTAATGGAAAAAATGGAAAGAAGAGGCTAGTTTATGCTCAGTTTCCAGTATGTTGGTTTTGGAGTCATGGTAGACAAAGGATTGTGAGAGATATCTAAAAGGTTATGGAATTATGAGACTTGTTTGAGAGAAATCAAAATTATAGATCAATATAGGAAAAATAAAGACAGAGCTGGAAACTAAATTACAAAGATACACCCTTCCATACTTCTCCACTTGTCTCAGCCAGGCCAGTCCCTTCTCACTGAAAGGGGCTTCATTTTAAGGGGCACGCTTCCTACGCCAGCTTCAGGTCCTCCTAATAAGCTTCCCAAAGGAGCACTGAACTGCGTTTATTCCTGAGCACAGCTCTGGGCTCCAGGGCGGTAACCAAGTGCCAGGAGCAGGCAGTTTAAGGAAATAAGCCCTGGAGGAAGTTCCCTAGATATGCAAGGAGATTTAACTTTGGGATTTCGCCACATTCATGGGCTCAAGTCCACGGTACACAGAAGCAGCATGCCCTCCTTGTCAGGTGCCAACGGTGCCCTCTACAAGGATCTCATTATTATGAAATCCCAAAGTCCAAGGCACCCAGACACCAACAGGTTTTAAATAAATTTCAGAAGCTAAGAACCATGCTTGCAATCTTCTGGCTGCTTGTACTCACGAAAATACGTAAGAGTATCATCAACCAGTTCGGTAAGTACTTACAAAGTGCCTACCGTGCACTTGGCCCTGAATGACCCATGGTCTTTTCCTTCACTCTGGACCTCTGGAATCATAGCCTCATTTTAAATCCCAATTGTAACCTCCATTGGCTCTATGAGCCTGATTAAATTATTTGACTACTCAGGGCCTTAGTCTTCTCATCTACAAAAATGGGATTAAAATGGCTCATTCATTTATCTTTGTGTTCATGGGTATGTTCATTCATTCAAAGTTCTTACCATGTAGCTTGACTACACTAAGCGCAGGGTATTCCCACAGTGTTGAGGAAAAAGGTTTTCTCGACCCTTTTATGGTACTTAGCTGGGTCTGAAAGTTAAGCTGAACGACAGATTAACAGGAGAAAAGCATACAAGTTAACTTAATATAAGTTTATCATCACACAGGAGTCTTCACAAGGAAATGAAGACCCAAAGAAACAGACCTGAGCGTGTTAGCGCCAGCTCTGACGAAGAGTGCGCGGTCAGGGGGGAATATGACAGGGTAAGGAGGGTGAGGGAAACAGTGAGGTCTGCTTGTTGGGCTCCTTCTCAGAGTCCCTCTGTCTTCAGAGATAAGGATGTGCCTTTCCTCTACACAGATACCCCCTGCTTTTTGAAAGTTTACTTTACACCACTTCACGTTTACAAAAGACCTGTAACTTCCTGCTTCTGCTAACTGGAAGACACTGGAAGAGGATTTTCACTTTTAAGGGGGAAAAAAAAAACGAAAAATGAAAACAGCCTTTAGCATTCGCTTTGCCGCAAGCTGTTGTTGAGGCAGCCAGAGTGGCTCCGCGAAGCTCCTTCCCTGGGAACTACACTCAGCATCTCAGCATCAAAGCACCAGAGCTTTGAAATATGTCCAAGCGTCTGTGCTTTATCTCGATTTACTCTGTGCGTCCATTAGCAAGACGTGTCCTAAGGTAATTGCATAAAGCCGTTATGACTTACGAAAGGTTTCACAGGAACGCACTACTATCGGACAACGGGGGAAACCTGTATAGAGAGTGCACTTCTCACGTGGAGGTTTTATGACTTGTTTCAGGGGAGAAGGTCAGAGTGACCTTCCTGCTTCTGCTGTGCTCTCAAAATTTTTTGGCTTTCAATATGTCAAAGTGCCATATTTTGGGGTATGGTCCCTGTAGCATTGGAGCGCAAATCTTACCGAGTTGTTAGGAAAGTCAAATGAGACCATATGTGCAAATTACAAGACACAGTGGTTCATGTATAGAACGCACATTCAATAAATGCTAGTTTCCTTCTAACAGGTACCAGGATATGCCATCCCAAAATATGCCTCTTTGGCATATGGATTATTTTGAGCTAAAGGCAACTGAGAACCAGCAGAGGCAAGAAAAGCCCTTCACCTCCCTCTAAGTGCTTGAAAATAGAGTATAAATTTCCCCTTTTGTAAAGGAAATTTACATTTATGAAGGAACTTTCCATTTGTAAAGGTGTCTCTGTACCAGGAAGAACGACAACTTTTATCACCTAAGAGTCTCTCATCTACGTAACAAGACAATTACTTATTTCCTTGTTTCACTTTGTCATAACTTTCCTCTCCTACCCAGAAGCCCAAAACCCCTTTTCCTTTGTTGAGCCTAAGACAGTATATAAACCTCATCGTCTGGCCACTTCCTTGAGTCTTGTTTCCCTGTGAAACTCCCTTGTTTACCTATACAATCAAAACTGTTTTTTTCTCTCATTAATCTATATATCATCAATGCGATGCTCGGGCATAGCCATGAACCTAAGAGGGTAGAGGGAAAAGGCTTTCTCACCCCTACAGGTTCTTCCTGTAGACCATGGGACACAAACTCAGGTGCCTGTGCTGGCCAACATAAACAAGTGCAGCAGCAGGGACTGTGTCCACCTGGAGACCTCACGTCCCCACCAAAGGGCAATGATCCATACAGCATTAGGCGATCATTTCCGGGAGGAGCTGCAGGGTCAATGTTCCAGATTTTCCAGTTTTAAAGAGAAGCAGGAAAAGTGGATGTGGAGTATCCTTATTTTTAAATGTTGACAACTAATTCCAAACCCTGAGTAGACTAAACAAAATACATCAGACCCAGGGGCTGCCTGTTTGCAACTCCCCCAAGAAGGCAGGGCACTCAGATAGCTCCCAGTTCCGAGCACCTTCTGAGGCGTCATGCAGCAAGACAGAGGGACTCTCCAGTAAAATCCTTACTTCACTCCAGCTTGGTCTCAATCAATCAGCCTAACTCTTCACGCTCCAGTGAAACAGGAACCTAGTGTGACAGGATCATTATCACCAGAGGAAAGGACAATCTCATCACGGGTCATCAGCTTGCATTATATAAATGAATCTAAGGGCTCGATACGAGGAAACAATGAAAATGCACTCAACAGGCCAGCGAGGCACAAGGCAGTTCAGGAACCGAATTGTGCTGATCAGACTCACAGGGCCAGTCACAAATACATCAGGAACATTCAGTCAGCACTTTCAGGTGATATTTTCCCAGCGTGATACACACTGCTTCCTTCATCCGTGACTCATTCTTTCCAGTTCAATCTATTCTGTTTTTAGATTTAATATCTGGCACTATTCCTCTAAAGAGTTCACGATTTCCCTCTGTCTTCTCTTCCCCCTCCTGTTTCAGGGCAGGGCAGATGGAAAACCAAAGGGTAAACAATGTGAGATGTAAAAAGATACAGATATTTATATTGCTTCAGTTTGGGGCCCTCAAATGAAGCTGGCCCGACAGACACAACATTGGAGCTGGCGCATCCCTTCCAGAAGAGTCTAAGCATCGTTGCCTCTGACAAATGACTTGCTTTATAAAGCCCAGTGATGATAATTCTGTGCTGAAGACCCACACTTAACCCCTGAGTGTGTTTCTTCTATTCTGCCACTTAAGGGCAACTGAGCTTTCTGTGAGTTAGAGATGACCCAAGAGACGTGAGGCATCTAGAAGTCCACCATATGTGCGGGGAAGACCAACATGCAGTAGTCTTCTTACCTGTTGGGGAGGTTTGGGGGCAGTAAGATTGGTACCCAGTGCGCTCCTTGACATGCACGGGACACAAGCGCCCTATGGAAGAGATGCTGAACACAGCCTACAACTGGAATATACAACCACCCCATAACATGGACAGGGGAGTTCCTTTAAAAGGCCCAACTGTTAGAAGAGACAATAGGGCCACTAAGAGAAAATCACCACAAATGAAGGAGTCTGGCAGGGTGGATGCCTTAGGCAGCTCAGGCTGCCACAACAAAATACCACAGCTAAAATAAATATTTGGATTATGTTTTGTGAGAATGAAAATGACTTTCATGGGAATCTGAGCTTGGTAGGACCCTATGGGTATGGTTGCAAGTAGCCCTAAATTGCCAAATATAGTGGGAACTTTTTAGCATTTATATTACTTGATCTCTCTGGCATCTGATATTGTTGACAATTCCTTCCCTGAAATTCTCTCCTCCCTTAACTGCCTCTTCCCTCTGAACCCTTCTGGCCACATTTGGTACGCCATGGCCGCACCTGCTGCAGGTGGAGAGGCAGTAAGAAGAGAGAATGCAGAAGGATGTGCCTGTGGCACAGCAAGGAACTGCCTTAAGCAGTAGTTCCTACACCCTAGAGGGCTGCCAGACCCCTTCCCCAGCCTGAGGAGCAGTGCGTGGCAGATCAGACTTGGGAGGGACTGCACTGACCCCTAAACTCTGGTCATAACTCCATGAGGAGCAGAAGAAACCGAGCATCTACTCACTCAAGGCTTGTATGCACATCCGGTAGTAAGCTGAAAGGAAAGCAACCTTCACCTTGTCCAATTGGTCATTCTTGCCAGGTTTTGAACACGGATTAGCCTATTATGGGCTGGCCTAGCCCATCATTCCTCAGTCTTCTCAGGGACCTCCTCTTCCTCGTCATCCCCTGAACTTCTGTGGTTCCACAGGGTTCCATGCTCAGCCCTTTTCTCACTGTTCACTCTCCAGGCAACCTTAACAACCACCCAGTTTTAACAATAGCTCATTTACTGATGATCCCTAATTCTGTATTCACTGACCAGAGCATGAGCTTCAGACTCATGTACCACAGCTTGGTACACATCCCCAAACCCCTCAAAACGCCACATGTCCAAAGCTGAATTGATTCTCTCCACAATCCAGTCTCCCTCTTCCATTCTCTTTCTTGGTCATCTGGACCCCCATTAATTCAGCTGAACGTGCCAGAAAACTGAAACTCTATCATCAGAGTTGAGTTTCTTTAAATGCATATTAGAAGATACTATAAAGATATAGATGAATTATGTTGGCTCTCTTAAAAGATAATTTTGTTTTGACTTGGGGGTGTGGTGTGTGTTTATAGTTCTCAGAGGACTACTGACTGTGTCTTTAGTAAGCTTTTCCTTCTCTATCCACACTGCCATATCCTTCGTTCTTACCTGCACTGTTTTTTGCCTGCATCACTGCAGTAGGCTCTCATGCAATCTCCCTCATTCATATTCTAACCACTGCTGCCAAAGTGATATTTTTTTGAGTTCTAAGTATATTTAAATACCTTTCTTTTCATTACAGAATTGATACGTGTTTATTGTGGACATTCTTTTGGGGTGGAATTGCCAGGTCAATGGGAATGCATATTTTTAAGACTCTGAAACTTTGCCAAATACTTCCTGGAAAGGTTTTATCTATTACACTTCAACCAGTAGAGTGATCAGTTTAATGAAGAAATAAGATTGTTATTCAAAGACTCTGAAGAAAGTTACAAGTTCAAAAACACAAACCAGAGGAGGCTCAGAAAGAAGGCTGTCACAGTCATAGGGCCAGCAAGTTTCCAAGTATAGCTGTGGCTCACTAGAGTCTTCCTGATGAAACATGAAGAGGTCAAAGTATGAAGTTCTTTCCTCAACTTTTAGGGCAAATGCCACGCAAGGACAGGGACTTTCATTTTTACACATGACTAAGTACTTAATAGCTTCCTTTGTTAATTATTAAGAGTGGTTAAAATTTTATATTCTCAAAAAAAATGCAGTACTGCCAATTATCGAACACTTTGGCTGCTGCAGGGAGTTTGGCAATGATGCAAATTTCCTGCAGCACATGTGACAACACAGATTGCTGGAATTTCCATAGTTTTCAAGAAGAATGCTTTCTGGGGAGGATAGGGATCCTTCGTAGGGTCTTGAGTTTCAAATATAGCTCTTCTTGTACATGTTATTTCACGGATCAAATATAGTTGTTTTTCTGTTTTTGATCGTGTTTTTCATGCATTAATGTTCTGATGTTGCCATTTAGGGTTGTTATTTTGTCCCTCTCTAATTCTTTGTTATCATCAAATTCTCTTCCCACCAGAAATGAATGGATGGGTTAGGTGTATTGCGGGGTCTTTTGTGCCAATTAAGTTAACATGTTTGCAAATCGTTGATCTGAATGTCTCAAAATCTCATTACCCTGAGTCTAGGTTGATTTACTAGGTTGGTCAACCTAGTAAAGAGGCCTGGTAATTACTACCTGCAAGATGACCAGATGTTTGAAAGAAGGAAAGAAAAATACAGTGGCTGGAAGCAATTTTTAGAAAAGGTGACAGGAGACTCATAGACTTTATTCTCCCAACTCTCAATTTTTAGAACACTAGTCTTATGTGACAGAAGAATAAATGCAGGAATATATATTATAGGAATATGTATTATAGGAATATATATATATGTTTTTTACATATATAAAACAGGACTCTATTAAACATTAGCAGGGCTGATGCTACGTATTAGCTTAGCAGAAACATTAAGAAGGCTGTGTTGAGAACTGCATCAATACTGTTTTGTACTCAGCGCAAACTACCCAGCCACTGGCCTGTACACTCATGAAATTCTTGATCTGAATCTGAAAGACTAGTAGGAAAGAGGAGAGAGATCTTGCTACATGAGTGACTAACCGAGGAAATGGAGACATTTGTATAACTGGTTCTGAAGATGGGTCCAGAGCTTCTTTTCCCATCTAGAGCTGGGAAGTCATGATTTTAAAATATGTAAGATTTACCTTGACAAACAGCTTATGAGAGGATATGGGAATCCGGTTTCCACCCGTCCAGCTTGCTTTTCAACAGGAGTTCTGTAATGTTACCAGCCTGAGAAAGAACTGCTCCACTGTGTGCCAGTACATTTCCATTGCCTTATGGAGAAAAACGGGAAGAGAAAATTAGCTAAATTAGTTCTACTTGATTCTGCTCACATCCTACTGCCAAGTTACTCACCAACAGGCACTAGAAACATCCACATACCCAGAGACAAGTACAGCCAAGCATTTGTTAGACTGTAACTTAATAAGCTTGCTGTTTTCCATTATCTAGGCCCCTGGTTAAAACATTCAGTAGCACCAGAATTGGGCTCTCCTCAACATCAGAATTTTGTGTGCAGCCCTAGGTTAGCTAAAAATCACACGTAAGAATAGAAAAAGAATTCAGAGAAGGGGATATAAAGGAGATAAAGATCAGAGTGAAGTATCATTCTCAGATGCTACATTAAGAGGAAGAATCTCTGTTCATGCCCCAACTCCTCCAATATAAAGACTTTAGAAGTTCCCACCATAACCAACTTAGTGGAAAGTCTGAATTGTGAATGTTTGAAGAAATATGCTTCTGTATTATTTCAAAAGTATATAGTAATTTGAAATGCTAACAAAGTATTTCTGAGTAATATTCAGCAATATTCTATTTAAATAAAAAGATAAGACATATTTGTAATACAAAACACTCATCTGCACATACAACCCTTGTTTCTCCCAGCCTACCCCAGTGAAAGGTAAAAAAAAAAATCAGTGACTTATGAAAAGATAAACCAGATATTTGTCTGAATTCGTCACCAGCACCAATTATAATACTAATAGCTAACATTTATCAAGGACTGTCTATTTGCTACATAACAAACTATCCCAAAATGTAGTGGTTTCACAACAATGAATTATTATTTCTTGTGATTTTTAGGCTGGCAGATCAGTGCTGGTCTCAATAGCTGACTC